ATATATCATAATAATTAGTGATATTACCTAAGATTATGAAGAATTATAGTAAAGAGGGAAAATTCCCAATTCTTTGAACAGATTGATTGAATGAGCTTGTGGATGAAATTCATTAAAGGTTTTGAATCTTCAACCCGAATTAAAAACAAAACCAGAAAACCTTCTGCATTGTTATGATTACAGTTTTAAATTAAAAATTTTGATTTCGCTAATTTTATGGTTATGTAATTAAAACCCGTAATGTGTGATTGTATTTACAGTTGAAGACAATTCAAGAAAATTAAGAGATGGACCTACGGGCGTGAGCTAAAGGCTCACTTTCCCGCTCGAGCGATGCAATGCAAATTGAAGCAGAACCCTGATGCGAGCCTGATGCTTGAGCATCGTATATAACCGAGTAAATCCTGTTTCATTTAAACAACTTGTTTTCCTATCTATTTCACCCGCAAACACTTCATATTATAGATAGACAAGCCTATATCATTGTAAGGGTGTGTTGAATCATTATTTTTTGTTATCGAGAAAATTATTTGAATATTCAAAACACATTCCAAAGTTCTCTTGATTCAACCTGTTGATTACTTGTTCATAATTCATCCCAAACATACTTTGATAGATTGAGCCATAATTCTCTATATTCTACCACAAATTAAAAAACGAATATTTCTTGATTAAACACAAAATCATCTACTTCCAACATATCTGTCATAGTTTTGAAGATCTAGGAAGTTAACCAGAGTTCCGATTGGGAAAGAATGATGTTCGTTCTTGGAGATCCACATGAGAGAAAAGAAAGTTGCTCCGGGTTCTCAGAAGTGCGAGTACACAACCAACGAAATTCCTTAGTGATTTACAAGTTTGGTGACCAGAGTCAGCTAAAGTTTTGTAGTATTTGGACTAATCGTAAGTTAACTTTTCTAGTAGATCATTGACAAGTTTGCCCGGATATTTTTTATCTAGTTAGGGATTTTCCTCCGTGATTTGGTGTTATTTATTGCTTTAAATCTACATGTTTATGTGATTGTTTTTACGATACGTTAATCATCTAGAAATAATTAATGAATGACTTGTTGCTTTTCATTAATTTAATTTCATATTTGGATCTAAAATATTCAACTAATTTAAATTTTCAATTATAATCACCAATCATGTGAAAAAGAAAAGAAAAATTCTATCAAATGGTTGAAACCAAAACTCACAGAATTGTTTCCTTCGCGCTTCACTATTAAAATAAGTAGCTTACTATTGATAATTTTAGCTTTTAAAAAATTTATTTAAAAATTATTAATTTAATCGTAAACTTTTGAAGTTTAGAAAACGTGGTGTACATCTTTCATTTATTATTATTATTATTATATTTTTTTCATTCTGTTGGGTTATTTACTATTGTTGATTGTATCCTCCAGTGGTATCATAGAAAAATTAGTTGCATCCCATTGATTTGATAGTGGAAGATTAATTGGAGTGGGACTCAACAACCAAGGCATATTTCTCAACAATCATGATAATATACATCATTTTTGACATTGTGACACGTAATAATACATCATTGGACAGTTTTAAAAAATACACACTTTCCTACTCATAACTTTTTGAACTCCAATGAAATGTAAACAGTGATGTCAACCAAATAATCTACACATAGCCTTATTCATTTTCTAATTACATTAGACCTTTTTTTTCTAGTTTGAATTACGTTTTTTTCTGTCTGATTTCTACAGTACGGTTTTTTGTTTTTCTGTGTGTCTATTTAATTACATAAAGATGAAACCAATGAGTTTATTTATTCAACTTATGTAATTTCATGTTTTTAATTTTTAGCATATTTCTCATCACTAACTTAACCGGTCGAATAAATTGTGTTAAATATAGTGTTATAAAAGCTCGCCTAGTCCACGTCTACACACAACCTATGTTCGAACTTCGAGCAAATCGTCTCGCTTCATGCTTATGCCTTTTTTTTTTTTTTTATCAATTTCTAAATGGCTGAATTTTTTTTTTTTTTTTTTTGCATCTCTTTCTCGTCTTCCTTAGGCGTACTTTATTAAATTTTTTTATTTTTAATTTTTTTATTTGACTTTAGTTTATTAATATTTAAAAAAAAATCATTTGACTTTAATTTCAAGTTTTTAAAAGATTTTATCTCTACAAAAGTTAAAAATTACCTTATTTGATAAATAATTAAACAAGATTTAAATTACGGTGCTATCTACATTACGTAATTACTCATTATTTTGTTGAATACTTCAAAAGTATGTATGAAGTTCCTATAAATCTATTTAGTAGGATTTGTCTAGTTGAAAATTGCAATTATGAAAAATAGTTTAATTTTTAGTATTTTTAAAATTTGAAAATTGTATAATTGACTAAATATAGAAATTATTAAGTAAATATAATATTTTATAATTTTAGATGTTTAATATGTATTATTTTAATTATTAAATAAGTTTTAGAATGATTAAAAATTTAAAATAATTTTAAAAATAGGAAAACGTTTGTTTTCACCTAGGTATCGTCTAGACTCGCTTAAGCTCATAAAGCCTCAACAACTTACACTTTTTAAAACACTAGTTAAATAAAAAACGCATATCATGTATTTCTTTTTTTAATTGTAAGTACAATATGTAGCATTCGGTTTTTAATGTTTTCCCTTCTATATTCTGTTTACGGCCTTTTCTACATTGTTCAATTGATCTTCTCAAAGTTATCATGGTATTAGAGCTTGGTTAGGTTATTCCTTTGTTTTATCTAGTTTATCTTTTATTCTAATGTTATCAAAAATTAAACCAAAAGTGAAAAACCCCTTCACTTAAGGGTGTGTTTTACATTAATTTTGTGCATTAATATACTGAACGTAAGTTTGATACATAAATAGACAAGATTAACAAATAAAAACATGGGGATGTTTAAAAGAAGTTTAGTTTTTCTACATCATGGGTAAAACAACATTTGGTTGGTTCCCAAACTTTACGGTTCTTAACTTTATAATGTAGTTAATTGTTCAACTTGTTGGAATTTGGTTTTAAGGATTGAAATTTTTGGTTAAGCATACAACTTAAAAAGTGACTTTGTGTCAACTTTGATCAAATATTCAGACTTGATTCGATAGTTAAATCATGAATATAAATATACTAATTTGTTCTACTCGTCGAGTAAATCGTCTTAATATATTTGGAATCTCAAAATTAATTTTGGATGAATGAGAAATTGTGATCCAAAGTTTTAAGGAAAAAAATTGAAATTCAACATGTGAGGGTGTCGCTCGAGTGACAGGCCAGCGCTAGCACCAGGCGAGCGATAGCTCACTGCATTGCGCCGCTCGAGCGCCACATAGGCGATAGGCAAGCAGTGGAACGAGTTGCATGCCTTTATGTAAAAGCCGAGTTTTGGAGCGTGTCTCTCCTATCACACCCCTTCACCTTCTATATAAAGGACTTCTAGGATGTTCATTATTCGTTCCATTCCATATTTTACACTTTTTTTTTTTGCTTAAAAACACGTTGTAGAAGTGATTCTTTTTTGCATCAAAGTCATGGTTATGGTGGAGAGAAAACTCCGTTCGAGTTCGTTGGTCTAAGTTATTTGGAGTGCTCCTATGGATAGATGTGATCGTTGTACCTTGGGAGATGATTGCCGAAAAACCTTTAGCACCAATGTGTGGCAAATTCATCTTAAGGAAAAAGTGTGAAACACTTGCCTCGATCAATCCAACCACTTGCATTTCCTATTTTATTTTCTGATTTCTTTGAATTTGAGATTTCATTTAAGAAAAACTAACTATTCTTTTGATTATAGGAAATGTTTTTTTGTTGAAGAACGGAAATGATTAAATTCGTCGTCACGTATTTGACTACAGTAATTATCATTCTGTCTTCTCAAATCCTATTTTGATAAGTCGGAACTATGTTCGATTCAGTTCACGTAAAAGATACGTTTTGCAAATATAATTCATGCACGTTATCGGTGTAATATCCCCCAACATAACTTAACATCGTGTACTTAGTTATTCCAAAACGCAATTTGGTCTAAAATTATAAGATGATGTCTTACATTTGAAGGGCATGACATCCCACCAAAACATTAGCATGACACCTAGCCATTGTTTAGAGTGTGTTTGGTAAGGATTTTTGGGGGAATAATTAATTTTTGAATAGTGATATGATGAGAAATGTGTGATTGAAAAAGAGGAAAAACGTATTGATGTGATTATATTATTTTATTGAAAAATGTGTGCTTGAAAATGAGAATTGATTTACTGTAGAAAATGAGAATTTGTACCAAACAGACTCTTATAGTATGGATTGAAATCATATTTTTGTAAATTTTGATAGAAATTGATGAAACGTATGGTTGAAAAGTTGTGGAACCCATAAAATATGTGGTTAATATTAATTGTTGACTTTGACTTGGATTAAAATTAAAATTTTAATTCCTACAAATTCCAAATAGGGGCCTAATATGCAAATAATGATAAAGCCAGTTAGTATATTCTACAGTTCAAGACCAACCAAGCTTTTTACCCTCTATATCTTCAAATAATACAACCTTGTGATTTTTTCGTCCAGAAAGCTCTCTTTTAATTCAACAAGGAACATGCAGTCGTCGAAAGCAGTTCTCATAGACCGAATTCAATTTCTCACGATGAAGCTACAAAATCTAGAGCATTCTTCTATAGCTAAGGACGTTTAGAATTAATGGATACATTGAACAAACATGGGAATTCCTTAGGATTAATTTGGTGTATAAATTATAATGAACGCCTAAATGAACATTAAAATTTACCAAAACAAGACTCGATTCTGCATTCAAAAATACAATGTACGTATGCAGACAAATTAAGCTATGCATAGAAGAAAGTACTATATATTTATGACATGCTCCGCAGAAAGAATTGGATAGCACAGGATATTAGTAATAAAAAAGGTACAATTTTGTTCATTATTTTGTCAAGCCGTATTCCGTACTGAGTACCAAACATATTCAAATTACATAGCATTTTCTCAGATTTGCTGCACCACAGCCAAGCAATTGTCTACTTCTTTGGCCAAATGCCCAGTGACTTTGCTCAATGGGTTATCAACACTAAATTCTTGAAGTGCATCATCGCAATCGGAGCTGGCCGATGCGCTCAAACGTGTCAACAACGTGCCTTGATCATTGTCTTTTAGGGCTTGCAGGCTTGTCTGCGCAAGATGAAATTTAAATAAATTAATTTATTAATTTCAAGTTAGAATACATGGGTGTAAGTATTAAAGAAGAAATTCAAATAAATAAATTATTTTATTTTGAATAGTTTAAATTTTAAGGTGAAGTAATTTATATTGCATTAGATGATGTAAAAGTCTTCCATTCAAGTATCGTTAAAACAAGATAACAATACAAAAATATATTAAAAATGTTTATCAATTCCGTGCTTACTTCTAAATTTATTCTCAATTTTTTTTTAATTATTTTTGTATTTAATTTTAAGTTTTGTAAAAAAGTGTGTTACATTTTTTAAAATTGCGTTACACATATAATCACCACCCCTAACCACCACCCTTAATCCTTACACCACAGTGTGGCTTCACCATCACCATCACCATCACCCCTAAAGCACGCCACAGCAATGGCGGAACTCCAATCCTTTTCCCACAAAAACAAAAATCTAGCCAAAATTCACCACAAAAAGAAAACTCCGACTAGAGCTCTTGACAACCGACGAACGCTCTATCATCACATTACACCCTAAATAATAATAAAAAAATCCTCACAAACGCGAAATTCTCCACCATCGGGTGGTGGAGTTCTTCACAATGCTATCAGATTAGATAAGAAGTGGCAGCACCGTTGGGCTGTTTCGAACTTCTCATTCAAAACACATTTTTGAATGTTAGGAAGAATGTGAATTGTTTGATTTATGTTATAAGTTTTGGTGGATGTTAGGAAAAATGTGAAGTGTTTATTTGGTGTAAGTTTGTATGATTAGAAAAAGTAAAGGGCTACTTTGTGTTTCAATTTTTAGTTCTGAATTTTGAGTTTTTTATTTTGGGGTTTGTTTTAAGATTATTAAAATCTTAAAAAGGTGTTTGATTTGTCATTCTAAAAAACTGTTTTTTCCTCAAAACAGAAACTAGAAAACACATTTGGTTTGAATTTTTGAAAAAAAATATATTTTTGACTTTTTATTCCACGAAATTTAATTATTCAGTAAAATATAACAATATTATGTGGATAAACTATCAAATAATATATGCAAAGTTGGTAAAAATGTAATAATATTTTTTTCCAGCAAGAAAATTAAAATAAAATAAATAAATAAATTGAATTGGTAAAACATATGAAATTAAAAAAATTAATGATGTGAATTGAGAATTTTATCCAAGGTCATTTAAATACAATTTTTTTTTTCATAATTTTTATGTAAATATCCATTAAAAGTTTAAACAATTTTTATTTTTTATATTTCTAGTTTTTTTTTTTTTTGAATTTTATTTTTTAGAATATTATAATTTTTTCTTTTTAATAATATACATTTTCGGATATTAATTTTTTAGAATTTTATGTTTAAATTTTTTATTTTGTAAATTTATTAATTTTTTATTTTTTTCTGGATTTTAAAATTTAATTTTTCAGAATTTTAAATTTTAAAAATTTTATTTAAATATAATTTTATTTAAACGCTTATTTCCCATATTTTGAGTGTTTTCAAAGTTTTCATTGAAAATATTCTAAACGTTAAAAATGCATTTTGAATTTTATGTTCTAAGTTTAATCTTGTTTTTGAAAATCAGTTCAAACAAGTTTTGGGTGTTTTGCAAAATTGAAAATAGTTTGAAAACAATAAGCCAAATGCACCCTAAATTTTTGGTCAATAAAAAAGTAGTATAAGTAGAATTAGAATTTCAAAAGAAAAGAAGGTGGTGGGTGTAATTTTCACCTAAACTAAAATTTACTTAAATAACTTTATTTCATTTTTAACAACTTAAGCCTTAACACGAGGTAGTTTAATTTGGTATTAAAGCATACAAAGTCTCGAGTTCAAATCATATTGCAAAATATATGAAAAGTCATGTGCATTTTAAGCCGTCGATACATACATACATACATACATACATACATACATATATAAATTTGCCTAAAAAGAAGGACATGTTTAAGATTTATTTAAATATACATCATAGTCTTTTATCTATCATGGTAAGTTTTAAGATAAAATGGCTCGACATACCTCGAGATCATCGATGGTGCTTTCAAAACTGTCCTTGCAAGTACTCCGAATCGATACCTGGCTTACTGGTTCCAAACTTGCAATAGCCGGTTCGATCAAATGAGACATGGATTGAATTCTTTTAGCAAGACCAAGGGTTGCCAGAATGGCATTTTGTGTAGCATCATGCATGTTTGTAGCACCATTCACCATATTTGTGCAGAGTTTCTTGTGGCTGGCAGTTGTGCAAAATCGGTTGACACCAATGAATTTTCTTGCTTCTATAGTTGTACTCTGGGCAATAAGAAGAGCAACCAAGGTCACGAAAAACAATGAGAAATAGTTGAACTTTTTAGGAGCCATTTTTTCTTTTTCCTTAATTTTTGAGTTTATTTTTTTTCTAGTTTTTATGGGCTCCTTTATTGTGTTCTTCTATCTCTCTCTCTCTTGTTTCTCTTATGGGGTCTCTCAAGTCCAGAGTCTCACTGAAAAGGGGAAAGATTAGTTTGGAAATTTTGATTATAAACTAGACAGCTTTGTAGAATGAATGGTAAGTCTATTTCTTAGCATATTTTTGTGGTACGTAGAGAATCTTCATGCAAGTGAAAGGTGGTCCTGAGTTATAGGTTTTGGTTTGTTCATAGTTTTAGCATCAATTAATGAATGGATCAAAGGTTGTAAAAAGATAGTAAATGGATGCCCTCCAAGAAATTAGTTTTAAATCCAATTAAAATATTTAATCTATACCCTTTTTGTCAAATTTATAAGTAGTTTATAAGGAAAAAAAAGGTTAATAGTAATGGGTGGGGTCATACAAAATTTGTAGGTAATAATAAGTAATAGTTATGAATGCGAGGTTGAAATTAATTTTTGAGTTTGAATGAATTTATAAACCATTAAAAATTTGTATCCAAATGAATGCTTAATGCTTTTAAAAATCGTGTTAGAATTCTTTTAGCACTCAAGTTATAGTTACACTATATTTTTCATTTTTATTCCATAAAAAATCACTGTTGTGGAACACATTTTGGTAAATGTAAGTTATGTTAATTGCCAATGGTATGCAGAGTTGGCGATTTTGCTTTAATATTCAAGTCAAGGAACTTAATGAAGATGAAATTCTAGCAAAGTTTTAGCAAGTTTCGAAATTTTTATTATTTTGAATAGAGTGAATTGCATCGTCATTTATGAGATTGGTTGAGGGTCATGCTTCGGCAATGCAGGATCGTCATCCCAAAAGTAGATAATTTGTCACATCACTTGATTTTTCAGTGATTTGTCTCTGTATCGAGTCCATATAGACTTGCAAATCTAGACTTTCTCGTCTAAACTCATTGGTCTAAATATGAACTAAGTAGTGTTCTGAGCTCAAAGCTTATATGACCGCTCATGTGACAATTTTGGTTGCCACATTATATTGATGTCCTCCGAGTCTCCAATGAATAACGATGTTGGAATGTACCCCACACCCAAAAAAAATAAAAAAGGGAGAGAGAATTACCGTGTTGGATTAGCATATGTTAGATATAATATTATTTTATAATATTTAGTTATTTAGTTTCCTTTTTTATTTACTTTAGTTTGTAGTATATAAACAGTTTGTAATTTATTTTGCCCTAATTTTTGGAGGCTCATACAATTGGTTTTCTTCCTCAATCTCTTAGTTCTTCTCTCTTGTTAGGTTTATTGAATTAGTTTGTATTATTCACATGGTATCAGAGTGTCACCTTCACCGCACCAGAAGTAGACAAAATTCAATCAACCATTGACTACCACGAAGAAACCCAGGAGGTAGGCTCTGATATCATGTAACTAATAAATAAAAGTTCCATACAAAATTGTATATACCATTGCATAATTGAACCAAGTCCTATTTTCTCTACATGACTCTTGAACTTGAATTTCAATGGTGGCATGTCTTTAGCCAAATGATCGGCGATCATCAAATCAGTGCTTACGTGCTCAATGACTACTTTTTTCTTTAACACTTTCCCTTATGGCTAAATACTTAAAGTTTATATGTTTTCTTCAACTTCCACATTTATTGTTCTTAACCATAAGGAGAGCAGTTGAATTGTCGTAATAAATTCTCAATGGCCTAGAAACGGACTTCATAACTCTAAGCCAGGTATAAAACTCTTGATCCATACACCATGTGAAGTAGCCTCAAAACAAGAGATGAACTCGGCTTCCAGGTGGAAGTAGCAGTCAAGGTTTGCTTGGCATTCCTCCATGATACAGCCCCACCAGTCATCATAAAAACATACCATGGTGTTGATTTGTATGAACCAACACAACCAGCAAAGTTTGAATCTGAGTTCCAATCATTTCCAGATTATCAGTCCGTTTATACATAATCATGTAACTTTTGGTTTCTTGAAAGTACCTCATTACTTCTTTGCTGCAATGCAGTGATCCATACATGGATTACTCGATATTGTCCTAATATTCCTATAACAAATGTAATGTTTGGCCTTGTTCAGACTTGAGCATACATTAGGCTTTCCACATCGGAAGCATATGGAATCTTCTTTTCTTTACCCTTTCTAAATCATTTTTCGGGTATTGGTTTAAATTGAACCTATCACCTTTCACAATAGGAACTACACTTGATGAACAATTATTCATCCAAAATCTCTCTAAAATTTTATTGATATAAGTTTCCTAAGACAGACCCCAGATCCCTCGTAATCTGGCTCTATGAATCTTAATGCTACACCCATATTTTTCATATCGAAATGTTCAGAGAGAAATTGTTTCACTTCATGCAGCAAACACTTATCATTGGTTTCAAATAAAATATTGTCTCCATATAAAACAAGAAAACAAATCTTACTCACACCGATATTCTAGTATATACATTGATCCATGAGATGTTCAACAAATCCGAATGAAGAAATTACTCCATGAAATTTAAATTACTATTAATGAGATGCTTGGTTTAGAGCGTATATAGACTATTTAAACTTACAGACCAAGTGATCACCATCATTAGAGGAGAATCCTTTCATATAAACCTTCACCTCTAAATCTCCATTGAGAAATGACGTTTTCACACCCATTTTTTGCAACTCAATGTCAAACTGAGCTACTAATGTCAAAATAATGCATAGAGAATCTTTATTAAATACTGAAGATAAGGTCTCAGTTTAACCGATTCCTTCATGTTAAGTGAATCCCATAGAAATAAGTCTTATATTGTATCTCTTAATATTTGAACAGCGAGTCTTTCTTAGTCTTAAATACCCATTTACAGCCAATAGCTTTGGCACCACTAGGCAACTCAAGAAGATCCCAAGCTCCATTATTCTTGATGGAACTCATCTACTCATTCATAGCATTGTATCATAGTTCTGAATCTTTTGCAACTCATGGCCTATTAAAAATGATTTGGGATCATTTTTTGCTCCAATAATGTAGTCAATTTCTTGTAGGTACACTTCATAATCACTAGAAATTGTTGACCTTTTTGTTCTAGTAAATCTTCTTAATGTAGTACCATCATTTTCCTGATAAGCTTTTGGTTGAATTGTTTATTTAGGAGGTTCTGGTANTGGTTGAATTGTTTATTTAGGAGGTTCTGGTAATTCTAGAACTACCAATCTACTTGAATGTTGTTATCAGCTTGTGGAATTTCAATGATTGGTTGTTCAACACATGTTTGTACTTGAGGGGTGCTGTGAGTTGAGATGGAAGGTTGAGATTTTGAATGATCATGCTCAGGAACTTTGAACCTGGTTTCATCAGTCCCATTTATTAAGTAATTCTCAAGAAGCCTAGCATTTCTTGATTCCACAATTCTAGTGCTATGAGATGGACAGTAAAATCTTTACCCTTTAGATCTTTCAGCATATCCAATGAAATACCCACTAAAGGTCCTTGGGTCCAGGTTCTTCTCTATAGATTATAGATCCTTACTTCAGACATGCATCCTTAAACGTGCATATGTCACAAACTTGGTTTCCAACCTTTCAATAATTCAAATGGTGTCTTTGGGACAGTCTTGGTTGGAACTCAACTTAATATATACACTGCTAACTTAGGTGCTTCAGTCCACAAGGATTTAGAAAGATTGGAGCTACTAAGCATCATCCTCACCATGTTCAATAATGTTTGATTTTTTTCTTTCTACCATACCATTCTGGTTTGTTAAACCAGAAATGGTGTAATGGGAAATTATCCAATGCTCTTGAAGATAGAAAACAAACCAGGTACTTATCCATTCTCTATGTATCTATTGTAATATTATCCACCTCTATCTGGTTGTACAATTTTAATCTATTTCTTGCATTATTTCTCTGCTCCAGCCTTAAATGTTTAAAGGTATCCACTGCTTTGTTCTTGTTATAAAGCAAATAGAGATACATATATCGTGACTAATCATAAATAAAGGTGATGAAATATTTTTGACCGTGTGAGTTCATCTCTGGACTACATAAATTAGTATATATGATTTCTAATATGTCCAAACTCCTTTTGGCACCTTTCTTAGACTTGTTGATCTGTTTTCCTTTAATGCAGCGCATACATGATTCAAAATCAGTGAAATTTAGAGTACTAACTGCCCCATCATTTACTAATCTTTTAATTCTTTCTATAGAGATATGTCCTAATCTCTGGTGCTATAACGTAGAGGAATCTTCGTTAATACTACACCGCTTAGTGCTAGTGTGAACATGCATTGAACTATA